CTGTTTTCAATGTGCAGAATCCCAAATCACTTGAAAATGAACCTGTATTGCTATGTAACAAAGTTGATTTTAGCAACAGTAGCTTCCTTTCAGTAACTTCTGGCTTCTTAGTGCTTACACCTAGGTCTGTGTGTAGTGGACCACAGCTCCCAAGGAATAGGATAAGTGACTTGATGTCTTGCATCTGAGCATGCCATCTCTCTCCTTTGCTGCCAGCTGCTGTGAACATCACTGGAATCTAATTCGATGAACTGATTTTAAAAGTGATTGTACCATAATGCCTTTCTCTTTTTCCTTTTCACAAAGCAACTTGTAATTGTGATGATTGGAGAATCTCAGGGCAGGAATTTGACATTTTGGATTATACACTTAATTCCTTGAGCACTTTTTCCCTAAGAGGAGCAGCTGCCTGTTGTAGTTTTCCATTTATTAATTAAATCCTGAATGTGTGCACACACACACAAGCTAGTCTGCAAGATAAGGATCTGTACAAAGCTTTTTTTCTGCAGAAGGACTACTTGGCTTTCTCTTACCTGTTTAAATCTTAAATACTAGTCTCTTCCCTTTTTTATGATCCACACCAGATCTTTTTGTCCCCGTAATGCTAGCTCTGAGAGAGAAGGAATCCAAGGAAGCAGTATTCAGATATAAATTAAAGTGATGGTTACAGACAAAGGATTTGTTAAAAAAAGATGAAGCTGCTGGCCCAGTCCAGAGGCCTGTTGCTGCCTGGCTCAGAGGGTGCCACTCGGAGTCCTCCCATAGCTAACGCTGCAGCGCATGGACGTTGGAGCAGGAAGCTTTCCTCTCTGCTGATGTTCAGCTTATGCCCCGCAGCATGTGCTTTAGTAGCATTTATACGTAGATTTGACCACTAATAACAAATATAGTTGTGTGTTGTAGCTGTTTAATACAAAGCCTCTTGTTTCTAATCAGTGCATGGAATTATAGTGCATGCTATGTGTGTTGTCCCCTCACCCCTTTTATTTACAGTGTACAGCCTCAGGTTTGTTTGCATCTCCACACTGGTTTTGATTTAAGAAAAAAAAAATAATCTCCAAACGTTTCTAGTTGCTGATAGCCCGACTCCTCCCCCACCTCCGCCCCCCGATGAGATGCCGATGTTTGATGACTCTCCTCCTCCTCCACCCCCACCTCCCGTGGATTATGAGGATGAGGAGGCTGCTGTTGTGCAGTACAGCGATCCCTATGCAGATGGAGATCCTGCTTGGGCACCTAAAAACTATATAGAGAAAGGTAAGAGAGGCGTTGCAACTGTGTTAGTGCAATATCAGAGGATTAATGGTATCTGAAGGGAATGAAGGACTTAATGTGGGTCTGATGAGAACAATCATTGTCCCTCCTAAGTCAGAACTCCATCCATGCTGTCCTTAGTTTGTTTGTGGCTACACCTAATGTTATAAGATACAATCCTTTTTTGGACAAATTATAAAATACCGTCAAGCATTCTGGAACAGATGAAAACCAGAAAGCTTCTTTATGAGATGCAGATGTAAATTGTATGGCTTTCATCTTTTCTGGACTGTGTCTTTAGTTGCCTTAGCTAGGCAGTCATCTAGAAACTGTTGCAAAAAGACCAGAAATTGAGCTGTATTTATTGCACTGAACTAGATAGCTAGAGCAGATCATGAGATTTCCAGCTGTAAAAATGTGTTGAGGAAATTTATCAGTGACTCCCCCATCAGCAAACTACAAACTAACATAGTAAATGTCTCTTCCCATGAATAATAGAGATGCTGATTTCTTGCCTAAGACATCAGATTTCTGAGAATATATATATAGGTGTAAAATAGTAGATTCTTGGAATTCCTAAAGCTGATCAACTGCATAAATCCATGTTAACTGTTTTGAATGGTAAGGCTATGATGTCTAACTGTATATTCATAGTGGTAGTTTTTAACTCCACTGTTGTTGGTGGCAACACTTACTTTCCTTAAGGTGATCTCTGTTTCGTTAGTGGCACACAGTGAGTTGGAGATTGGTAAGAGTATTCACCAAGCACGTACTGAAAAATAGCAGATGTTGCTGTAAATTCGCTTCTGCTTTCTCCTACAATAACGTTTCTACTTGCACACATTGCAACTTCTTGAAAATTGATGCCAGAACTTCCTATCCCACAGAAGCTCTGTAGGAAAGACCATCCATTTGTTGGAGTAGCTTAACACAGCGATGTGTAGATCCCACACTGAATACAGTGTGTGTATATGTATGTGTGTATATATATATATATATATATATAGCTCCAGGGGCCCTAGTGAAATGATTTTTAAAAAAAAAAAAAAAAAATTATTTTGAGGTAATCAGACCAGAAATGGCTGCCACACTTAAGGAGTCAGTTATTTCATACTTCAGCTTTAAGTGTCCATATGCACTGCTTTACTGTGTCACAGTCAGATAGATGTACCTCTCTGTCAGCAGCTTAACTGAGCGTTCAGTGTAGTCACCACCCACTTCTTATTGGTAGCTAATGTTGCAAGGAAAGTGAAATTTCATTTTCTGGACTTAATGCTCAACAGGGAAAGCATGTGGATTTATTATGGAAAATCCCAGGATAGCAAACTAGTCTTTTAATATTTTTTGAAGTACAATTGTTTTTTAATACTGGTGCTATTAATAAAATGCTAAACTTGTCCCTTTCCAATCCACAGTTGTTGCTATATATGACTATACAAAGGACAAAGACGATGAGCTGTCATTTATGGAGGGTGCAATCATTTATGTGATAAAGAAGAATGATGACGGCTGGTATGAAGGAGTTTGCAATCGAGTAACTGGCTTGTTTCCTGGGAATTACGTTGAATCAATCATGCACTATGCCGATTAAAATCCTTTGCTTTTCAAAGTTTGGTCTTGTATTCAGTCATACCATGATTATTTACAAGGGGTAACTAAAAGCTAACAGGATTGTCTTAATATACTTTCAAAAAAATTGTGCCCATTTCTTCAGGCCATACTGTTTTAATGGTATGATTGAATGTCCATCTCTGAGTCTCTGGGGACAGTATGTCTTACCTGATGGCAATTTGTAAAACAAACAACTGTCTATAACTGGTTATACTTATTTACTTATGCATTGTTAATTTTATGACCAGCCTAAATATTATGGGGAAGTAGGGTATAATATTTAATGAACCATGATCAGATTGTGCCATTACATTTTTCAGTACAGCATGGTAACTAACACTACGTTAGACTAACATATTAAAATCTGGATGAGAAGTTTAATGTTAGTGCTGGTCATATTACTTTTTGTTTAGACTCTTTGCTCATTCTTGAACTATATTTGTTTAAAGCATGCATACAAACTTATGTATTGAAATATACTTTTTTAAAAATCCAAGATGCTTCCAATTGTTGTAATCTTTACCTGGAGTATTCTCACTAAAGTCTATTACAATGAGTTGTTTGGGTCTAAGGTGTCCATGTGAATCAAAAAATGGGTGGTCTTATGTATGTGTAATTTGTACCCAAGTTTTTTTAATGAGTAAATTTACATTATGACTTTTTCCATTCATAAATATATAAGTGAACCAAAGGTCTTGTCCATTACTTTGTTGGTTGGCTTGGCAAAGAAGGCTGGAATGCTAAGGTAGCAAAATCATGGCTGTGTTATCCCAGGCAATGTACTGAAAAGCAAATGTTTGTAACATGAATTTATCACTGACAAGAGGGAAAATAAATTAGATCTGAAACCCTGAATTACACACTTACACATACTCTTAAAGGTTCTTTTCTTCCAACATTTAATTATAGCAAGGATTCTTGATTTAATCTAGTTAGCTAGATGCAGTAAAACTTGGACACCATCTGTAACTTACAGTTCTCTGAGGAAACTCTGTGTGGCTTGGTGGTGTGCCCTGCTGAGAAGAGACAGCGAGGTGTCCTCCAGAGAGCACCCAGGGGGAACACACACTACAGGAACTTGGCCATTGTGTTAAGACATCACAGGCAGAGATAGAGATTGTGTGCCTCCCTGTTCTACAAATTCTGTGGCTGAAATAAGCTGAAAAGGAATGTGGTAGTACTGGATAATTACTGTGAGAGGAATGTGTTTGGGACTTCAAAGCAGGCTTCTAGAAGGGTACTGAATATACTCTATAAACGAGCAATGGAAGGGGATGGAGTTGCAGGTTTGACTGGCCGGTGAATCATTTAGTTTTAGTGTGAGTTAGAAATACTGAGCCTTTCATTATCTGAACTGCAGCAATCTCAAATTCTGCATCTTGTTAACTGCTAGCAAGTAGCCAGCAATAGTGTACCTGTATTTCATTACGAATTGGAACTCACTGATGTATATAACCAATTAAAATCTACATATAGTCTTTTACAGTAAACTGGTGTCGTATGTACAATTCCAGTTGCTTCTGTTGTTAAACAGCCAGGGAAGCATTCAAACCATCTCTCTTCACAGGAGTTTACCAGCCCCTGTGCATGCATGCTCTGTTTATTAGCGTAAACAAGTGAAATTTGGAACAACTTCAGTTCTCATACACTGATTTATATTTATTCTCATTGTGGCCTTTGTGCATCGACATGTAAACATCTTCCCCATCCCCCACAATCAATAGCCCCCCACTAAAACAATTGTACAGCACAGTTTGATTTGCTCTGAATTGCATTGCTTCCTGCAGTAAAACACTTTAAACTTTTGTTTAAAAAAAAAAAAAAAAAGTTTTTTTTAAAAAAATAATTTTTGGTAGCCTGTGTTGGAAGCAAATAACTTTTGAAATAAATGTAGGCACAGTCTGGTAAGTAGCTGCCAGGACGAGTGGAAGGAGTTGTCTCACTTGTCTCGCATGAGAACCATTTCTGTCAGGTGGACGAGGGCTTCCCTCTCGGGGGACGGCCGCAGTTTGCGGATCTCTCGCGTGGCCGCGTGGCAGTAGCGCTGGGCGAGGTAGGTTGTCTGCTGCACACCATCACTCTGAGGTGGAAAGACAGGGAGAGGAAATGGGTAAATGATCAGCCTCCCTCCTGCCTTTTGCCTCTCCCACTGTACAGGGGTTTTAAGGTCAGTCAGTACCCTGAATGCTTAATTATACTGTGCAGGGGAAAGGAAGAGGATTCGTTCTATATTCATGGAATCCTACATACCTTCCCCAAAGTGTCAAAATGCTAAAACTCATCCACGTTAAATTTTTAAGTATACTTACAAAACAGCACTGGTATTAATAATATATTAGAAACTAATGGTTTAACCCCTCCCCTCCTGCCCTAAGTAGGGATGTGCAAAAAAATGTACTATTCTGGAAAAATAGGTATTAATTTTGTACAGACCATTATTCAGTCTTTTCAGACTAGTGTCAATTAAAACTCATATGGGGTGTGCACTGCAGTTACAAGACTGACTGGTAATGATGTGCCACTTACACCAGTTGTTGGATACAGCTACTCCTCAGCTGAAGGAACTGAGTTCATGCATGAGCTTTTTACTTTTATTATGTGGATTTTATGCTATGGGAGGGAAAAAAAAGAAAAAAAAGCTCTTCAGTACCTATCGTTTCTTCTAAAACACTGTGCCAGTAAGACAGCTGAAGAATTCTAACTTGGCACTGTACACTGCATGCTACTTAGCAGGTATCTGACAATGCAGCCCTGCTATTTTACTTCGGAGACAATGAATTTCAGACCAACTTCAGTAGGGAAAGCAGAAATATTTAGTATCAGTCTTACCTGCAACACATATTTCCAAGCACGTTCAACATCTCCTGGCCTACTGAATCTCCTCATTATCATAGCATTCATTTCTGGAAACTAAGCACAAAGGGAGAAGGTTTTTGTACTGCTTTTGTTTTCCATGTAGCTGCCTGCCATGCTAAGGTCAAAATGACAAAGTACAGACCTCTTCCCTACCACTCTTGTTATTATGAGTATAGCTTTAGGTTCATACTTGCAGTCTACATAGGACTGTAGTACAGCACAGCCCAAGCATTTAAACTTAAACTGTCTGGCTCTGCTGGCTGTAGCCAGTTGGTAGCAAAAGGTAGCACCTGCCATTGCATCATGTTGAGCAGATGATCTACTGTGGTAATTTCTGATGTGGCTACTCCCTGGAATATAATCTGCTTCAGGTATTTTTCTATCACAAATGATGCTTAGTGTTGGCACACCTCAAAGAAGCACCTCTTCCCCCCCCCAAGTACAACAGTGAACCCAAGAGGTTTGTTGTTTAGCTGTTATATCCACTTATACTTTCTATTATGCTGGTATTTTATGTACACAGGCTCTGCCCTGTGGAATGCTCAGCACTGATTTTTTTTTTTTTTAATAAGAAATATAAGGTATTTTGTTTTCAGTCACACAGCATTTGTAGTTAGCAGTCCATGCTCAATTCCCTACAAATCAAGTAGGTAACTCAAGTCAGTTGTGTGAGAAAGTGGCATTACTTATCTAAACATGCAGGCTCTTTCTTCAGATAGCCTAGAAACAGAAAAACCTGGTGCTTGCTAAAGTAAGGTCACAATTCAAGGCACCTACTCTGCAGAAAAATTCTTTTTAAAGGAAAGAGGTCTTGGTTCATCTTGTTTGAAAGGATTAGAGTCAAAGAAAGATGATTTTATTGCCGTACATTTGTAAACAACAATCTGCTTTCCTAGCACACCTTTGGTCCTGAAACTGCAGCTCCACGACCTTGTTGGGGTAGAAATGCAGCATCCCTAAATGTTGTTACATTTCCTTACTACTCATATGAAGTCTTCTTGGAGATGCATTTAGAAGTTTATTGGTGACTCATACAGGTATATGTGATCACTTTTTATATTTAAGCACTAAAGGATACGAAAATCCCCAAACCTATAAGGCAAAGCTGTTATTAGCAACTCTGCAGATTTAGCAGACAGTCTATAAGCACTGGACAGGAATGCTTATAATAAAAATAAACCCTCATTCTTCAGCTGTACTAGTTTAAGAAGGACTTTAGAATTAGCATATACTAGTGTATTTCATTAAGAAATAAATGGGGTGGGGTTTTTTTTAATGGAGTGAACTAACTTTAAATACTGAATAAATAGGTATCACATCAAGCTAAACATTTTTATTTTCTATAAAGGCCTCTCCTTAATACTCTAATGCACAAAGATGTATTTCAGAGGGAGGGGAGACAATGAGAAGAAAAGGCAGCTGTCACTAAAGATGTTAAAAACTAAAGAATGTTTCAGAAGACAACTTGGGGATAACCAGCTATACGAAGGGGTCTGCAGGACAGTAGTAATATTAATTTGAAGAGAAAAGACAGCCTATAATTACCAATTACATTTTGGACTGTCTTCAAGTCCTGGCACAGGAATTTTTATTCTCAGATACAAATAGATGAAACATCTTTCAGAAGCAGAAAAGACAAGTGTCTGTTAAAGCTCCACACTTTTTTAGCGCTTATGCCTTGTTTATGTATCCCTTAAGTCTGTAGTGCTGTTCTTCCAGTTTCTTGAAAACAGCAAAAAATTTTCAGCAGAGAAAATGAAGTTAATGTGGAAACTTTGTAAGATGGTTGAGTTATCTTTCAATGCAAAAATATATGCTTCCCATCTATCAAAAATATAAATGAGAAAAAACATTTAAAATTGACCTACAAAGAGCAAGATTTTAAAATAGAACTGACAGATTTTCTTTTCTTGTATTTTTATATTATGAACTAATTTATCTTATAAAGCTAATTAAAAGATAGGTGAATTTGAAAGTCAGAGACAGAAAACCCAAACAAATTAATAATAGTTTTAATTTAAAAAACTGGAATATTCAACACCCACAAGACAATTAGTGTCACCCATTCTCTGCCAAAATCAAGAGTATTTGCAATATGTCGTTTCTCTCTGTAACTTTAGCACACAAAAAACCAAAATGTTTCACAATTGCATCCTCTTTCTCTGCTTGAGTCTCTCACTGTTCTTTAGATGACTCCAGTTGCTGATGACTAACAGTTCTGAAATAATGATTCAAGAACATGCTTGTGAATCCCCCAGATGATTACATGGGGAGGGACTGAGAATATAGAGAAAATTGTTCTCAATGTGCATTCATCTGCATTGTTAATTGGCCCATACTCTGTGCTTTCCTGTCTTTTCTGAGTTATGGATCTTTGTAAATGCCCTAAGTATAAGGAAGCAAACACATTCTTATGTTCCACCTCGCCCCACTCCAGGCTCTTTTAAGAAAGAGGGGGAAGTAAATGTCAAAGTTGTTGAGGGTTTGTGTTTTTTGTAAATGATTTAAAACTTTTCCCATGTCAAGCTCTCAGCAGTTCCACTGAGAAATCATAGACTAGAGCTCTGCTGGAACTAGATGTGCCAGTTTTTGTATGATGCTGTGAAGTTTGGTAGGAGGGACCGCTTTTTAAGTCTCAAATCTTCTTTCCTCTGGTGAACCAGAAACTTGAGCAAGGCACATAAAACCAGTTTCTTCCCCATTTATGGATTAGCACCAATTTTAATGTTTCTTTTGGTGCTGCTTGCACTCCTGTTTTCCTTGAACTCCTCCAAATAATTTTTAAGGCACTAAAAATCTTGACCCATTTTAAACTTGTTTTATTTATGACACTCCTTCTCTTATCCAGCCTTCAGAAGGGAAAGCTTCCCACATTTGTAACTGGATAATACTTGAAGACAAAGAGATGAAGATATCAAATCCAGTAAATAGCGGTACCCTCCTGAAAGCTAGGCAAGGATTTCAGTTCTTGGCCCCAGGATGGATACAAAGCCCAGAACCCAGCAAAAAAGCCTTGACATACACAGTCAAGCCTGGGAAGAACAAGATGTCTCAGGAGAGAACATAAGCAAGAAGCTACTTAGGAATAACCTAAATAAAACATGCAGATACTGTGAGTACCTACAAGGGCCTCATAGTAAGAGGAGCTGTGCAGGAAGGTGATTCTCAGTCTGTCACAACATGTGTGCACACAGAATCCATCTGATCCTGAATGCACAGATTGTTCACATGGGCCCAGGCCCCTCTTAATGCGGATGCCGTAGCCTTGATGTGTTTGAGCTGGACCTGGGTGTGTGCTGTGAGGAGCAGTTTACACTTTCTGTTTTGAGGAAGCAGATACCTCTTGACTTACCTGTCGACAAGCAAACAAGACAGGGCCTGTGGCCAATCCAAGCTTGAGATCTGCTGCTGTTGGTTTCCCCAGACGGTCGGCACATGATGTAAAATCCAGCACGTCATCTATTAGCTGGGAAAAAAAATAAATATGCAGATTATTTAGAAACTTTCTTTTTAAAAATGAGAACTAAATACAGAATAATACTTGTTAAAGAGAAGATTTACAGAAAGGATTAAGACAGCCCACTTTGATTTCTAAAGCAGTTTGGAGAATTTTAGACTTTAGATTCCTTTTAGTTCAATAAAAGCACTACCTGAAAAGCTATGCCAACATTTTTTCCATACTGATATGCAATCTCATGAACTTTGGGATCAGGGCAGCCTAGTATTGAAACCTGAAAAGACAAAAAAACCCAAGTAAATAGAAAGCTTTAGTTAGCATCCACTTTTAGTCCCTCACCATAGGTGTGACATAGCCAGCACAGGCAGGAAGGATCTGGGAAAGGCAAAAATAAAAAAAAAGCTGACTCAGGGGCACATTCTTGCTTATCTCTGTTCATGGAGACACACAATGAACCGAGCTTACTAGAAAACAAGGCTGAAAAGCAGTGTGATATTAAAACTATATTCAAGTCTGGTCTGGAAAGAGATTAGCTTTATTAAATATTTATTATACTTAAACATTATAATGCAGGGATAAAGAGAGGAGATGTGGATGCACTGCACATGCAGGCTAGTGGTTGTACACAGTCCAGTGACGGGGAAATTAAATTTATTACATACATAAATCAGCTAGGGGACAATTGGAGGTCAGACAACAGATAAATGGACATTACATGTCTCATAAAAGATCACAAAGCTGGACGTGTTGAACCCAGTACAGGGGCAGTTGAGATAAGGAAGATTATTTTTAAGGTGATGTTAACTGTAACTGACTTGCTCAGGAAGATGAGTTAATTAGTTTGCAGGCAAAGGTACTGAGAGATAATTAGTGGCAAAGAAAAGACAGCATACCAAGCTGGCAAAAGTATCACTAAACTGAGACAAACAAAACATTTTAATTGAGAACAGATAAAGAAATCAGCTATCTGAGAGACAGAAATAAACTGAATAAACTCCACAAAACTAAAATACAGGACATAAATTAAGGTTTGAGAATTCATATCTTGCCTCAAAGTAAGGGCACTTATGCTTTTGCATTTAAGCATTGAGTATACCCTTCACAAAATCAAGTTGGTTATATTTAAATACTCAGATTTGTTTCATCCTTCAATAAAGCAATTAGGAACAGGGGGCAAAAATCCATCCTGGTTTATTGCAGGCATTCCAAATCTGCTATGACTAATGGAAGGAGTGAAAATACATTTTACTTAACGTAAGACTAAAAATATATGCTGGGAAAGCCACACAATATAAATATATATATATAGATATATATATAAAAACCAAATATATTTATATATAAATTCCTCTTTAAGACTATGTAAAAAAAAAAAATCATAAAAAAACCCCCAACCCCCAAATCAACCCCAAATTAGAAGGAAGTCCAGTAGTAGCTTAGAAGGTGTACATGAAGAGGGAAATAAGAAACAATGTTATATTCTAATAAATGTGATGGCACAAGATTAGAGATTATTTCATGGATCAGTGCACTTCATAACTGAGCATCAGAACACCTCCCACTCATAACCTGCATCCATGGATAATAACTAAAACCCAGAGGAATCTGGATGCCTAAGGCATTAACAGCATCTCACATTTTCCAATTTTATTTAAAAGAGTAGGACAGTATAGCAGGAAAATAGTACTACTTATGTCTAATAATCATCCAAAATCCTGAAGGCTATTAAACAGAGTGAACTGCAAATATGAGATATTTAAATAGATGTTGCTAAAGACTGTCAAACTAGAGTATTTTGTCCTTTTATCCTCCTTTTGGCACTTGTCTCTTAAACAGTTGTATTTGCCCCAGAGATCTAACATATACTGCTGTACCATGCCTAGCAAACTTCTGGTTGCTTCTGGAATATAAATCACATAATATCTGCAAGGCAGGGGGACTGCATCTACCCTGTTTCAATACAATCTTTACCTACCACCACATTTCATCTCATGTGGAGGAGTAAAATATGGATTTCAGTAGAACAAAATCCTAGTGAATGAATGGCAAAGGATCAGAACAGGCACTAGTTGGCAGAGGCGGAGAGGAAGTGCCATGTAAAGAGAGAAGCTTCCTCATTTAATTTGAAAAGTCAGGAAGAACAGAGCTACTCCTGTTGGTGGACAGTTTTCAAGGGATACAGATATCACCTATACAAAGAATCCCACCAGTGTATGTACATGCAAAAACCAACTCTTAGATACAGAATATAACAAGAAATATTCATCAATGCACAATTAACTCTTGCATCTTTCCAAGAGAAGACTGTCATAGCTCCTGTTCAGGTTATGAATATTTCTTATTCATATACAAAAAGAAAGACAAACAAAAAGACAAAATCCAGGAGATTGATTTGCCAGTCATCCTCAAGTGAGCAACCCTCTAACCATGACCATAAACCTGCAACATGGCTGGGTCATGTCTATGAGAGAGTTCCTTCAGGATGCAATTTCTCAAAATGCTCTTGAAGATTATTGCCCCCACCTGGACACTTACCAGGATGCAGCCAGGCAGCTTGTCAATCCCAGATGAAGTTTAACTGAAGCTATACTGGGATAATAGCATGCATTTGCAAATACAAATCAGGGTAACCAAGTCAATGCAATGACATGTTTAAATTATAAAGCTCATCCCTTTAAAACATTCTGTAGCTCCCCTAATAAATATGACTTGATGACAAATTTAATCTTGTAAGAATTCAGACCAGTCCTCCACTAAATCATGACGAAAAATCCTAATACCAGGTGGAACAAATTCTTTAGAAATGTTCTCTAAATTCAATAAAGCAAGTCAAATCTGCTCGGTATTATTTCAAACACACTTTTTGCAATAAAAAGTTGTTTCTAGTATGTTATATGAGAGACTGTGAATCAATCTTGCCTTTTTACTGAATTTTACATCTGTAAAATATATAACCAGCTCTGGGTAGATAGGTCCCACTCTGATATTTAATATGTGACAATATGGCAGCTGGTGTTGAAAGCATTTGCACATTTCTACCGGTGCCCTGCAGGTCACAGAGGAAAACCTGCTGCTGTGCCAGGATATGCTTGTATAAACAGTACAAGAGATGTTTGTTCTTGCACTCCTAGATTTCTGAAAAGGAAAAGGCTCTAAAATCTTTTCGAGACTTTCTCCTCCATGCCCATCTCTAGAAGCAGTCAGGTTCCTGCCTTCTCATTCATGGCTCATCCACTGCTGCTCTTCTGGACAGGAGCACTGTTCCTCTTTCCAGTAGAATCACAGAATAGTTTAGGCTGGAGGGGAACTCTGAAAGTTATTTGGTCCAGTTGTCTGCTCAAAGCACTTTACTTCACAGTTAGATCAGGTTTCTCAGGGCTGTGCCCAGTTGACTTCTGAGCAACTCCAAGGATGAAAAATCCCACACTCTGTCTGGGCGACCTGTTGCAGTGTTTGACCAACCTCATGGAGAAATTCTTCCTAAAAGCCAACTGAATTTTTCCATGAACTTGTCCTCTCACTGCACATCTCTCCATCCTCTCTGTGCCCTCCAATTACAAGGCTGGAGGATTCCCCCTTTGCCTTCTCTACTCCAGACTAAAACCAGCTCTTGGCATATCATCTGCTCCAGTCCCTGCCATCATGGTGGCCCTTTGCTGAACTCACTCCACAGTGTCCACGTCTGTCCTGGAAGAGGTAGCCCAGCCCTGTGTTCTCACACATGCTGGACAGAGAACAGTCCCTGCCTTGGATGTGCTGGCCATGCTGGCAGCGATGCACCCACAGTGTGCCTGTCCCTCCCTGCTGCAGGCACATCCTTACTTCCTCCAGGATCTTCAAATCCCTTTTTGTAACTGCTCCTGCCAAGGGGGTGGTGAGGGCCTCCCAGGAGAGGGAGATGACTACCCAGCAGAAGCCCCCACACACTGCAGACAACTATCCTGTCCCAAACCTGCATTTTCATGCATTTGACCTTTTCTCAAGTAATTAACATTTTAACATGCTAACCAAATACCTGTTTATGAAGAATTGTACTTTTACAGAAATGAAGATTATCTGCCTGGATATCTGTGAGACATTTATTCTAATCTTTTTCATAGCAAAAATTATAAAGAAGAAATATCCCCAAAGGACTGACTGTATTTTAAATAATAAGGAAATTTACTGGCTGACTGTAATATCTGATACTACTGATGCTATTACCCTATATCGTCATTGGCCATTATTGCAGTCTGTGTGCTTAACTGAGCTAGGGGGACCAATTCTGCTGGTGGGGATCAGAGGTCTTATTTTCTTAGCCAGTTCCACACTGTTGTAGGTTTTCTGATGGAGCCCTGTGCACACACCAAACGATGAACTAGTTACAGCAGGAGCTCACAGGTAGATCCAAAGCTGCACACTATTTGTTTTCTTCGGTCCCTAAGGCAGACCTTCCACACACAGCCTTGCCTCACACAAGGAGGCTGCATGCTTTCTCCTAATACAGAAATCAAGAATGTCAAGTGCAACTTTCCACTTATCTCAAAGCAAGCATGATTTAATCCCTCTTCTGAAAGTATGCTGTGCAAAATATAAACGGCCTTAGGAATTCACATTATAGCAGGGTAAAAAAAGAAAGAGAACCCGCTTAAGTTATTTTGCCATCTCCAGCTTGCCTGATGACTAAACAGAAATTCCACTTCAGCTTTATTGTTTCTGAATTCTTGAACCAAAGTCACCTCTCGTGTTTCTTTGAAAAATGCCTTTCAGTAACTAAGGCTTCAATGACCGTCTGGGCCATCTGCCACCATTTCCTTTTGCAATTTATTACTTTGACTGAAACTTTGTAACATTCTGCCATGCAGAAATAAACTGGAGGCTGGGATGGCTCTAACATCTTGAACAGACTATTCTGTCTATAAAAAAAAGTATTTTGCTAACTTGAAGGACTTTGATTTAAATGCAGTAATGCTTTGGCAGTGCAGAAGGTATCTAATACAGTGAACTAGGCTGGTGTTGACAGACTCTATAATCTTGCTTAGACATTTTTCCAGGAATACTCTACTCTTCCATCTCTAAGAATATAGAATGCTAAGATGCCATCTGAACTTGTTTGACATCTTCTTTCCAGTTAATACCTTTATTTTATTTATGCACAGCAACAGATCAGTTTTTCCCTACCATTAACAGGAACTGAACTGCTTTTAATGGCACACTAGCCTGGTTGTAACTGATGTTCTGAAAACCAGTAATCTCTTTCCTTAGCTTTGTCCCTAAAAACAAAATATGAATACTCTTGATTCCCTAACTGAATTTCAAGCTAGAACTGATGATCTGGATCATTTTCACTACAGAAAACAGATCTCCATTCTGATTCCATCAATTTCCTTAGTAGTCAAAGTCATCTGAACAAAAATGTTTCAAAACCCAAACACACCAAAACTCCTCCAAATCTCAAACAAAAAAACCTCCCTTTTCACTGCTATCAATGGACCTCTCCTAATCCATGCAGAAAGAAACTGAAGAAGACATACAGACACAACTCATTACTGCTCTGTGCAGTAAGTATGGTTTTGCCATGAAGACAGTCCTCTCACTTGGCTTTCCTTTATAACACAAATCTTACAGCATATAAAATTCCAGCAATTCAGCAATGGAACAACTCAGACCAGCCACTAGAAGAAAAGCAGCCAAACACCATCCCCCCAGCATTACAGCCTCTATCTTGAGAGAAGTGCTTAAAGCCTTAACTCTTGCAAGTCAGGAAAAGAAAAAAAGCTCAAATTAGCACATTTGTAAGGAAAATCCACTCAGTGAGAAGGTGATTTCTTCTATCTGCAAAGATTATTTTAGAGAGACTGTCAAAGTGAACAGAAAAACATGTATATGTTTTTATTAGGATAGCAGAATAATGTGATGCTCTTTACAAGTCCAGGTGCCCACTGATATAAAAGAAGACTTGCAAAGAAAATTCTAGCCAGGGTAATACTGCCACTAATATGAACAATCCAAAAGATTTAATTTCTTTCCTCCAACTAGAATGACATTTTCTCTCCCTATAAAATCCATGTCTCTCATTCTGTGTGATCCTTTTCATACAAGCAATTTTCCACTGCTGTCTGTTGCATAAATGTACCAGTTCTCTGAGAACAAAACAAGATGATTAACATTAGCATAGATTTTTAGTCTAATTCTCTTAGAACTCCCTCTTGCTATGGAATACACTAGAATACACCAATATACTGCCTTTAATTAAAAAAAATAAAACTCTCTTGGGGTAAGATTACTGCCCACCTTCTCCATTTTCTGCACTAAAACTAAACATGTATTTTTGAATAAGAACATAATCTTGAGTTGGATCTTTTTGTAATCAAGTAACAGAACTGAATTACAGACAGAATCAGATATAGCAATTGATAATTAAAACCCGCAGACAAATCATGTACATGCTTCTGTTCTTTCACAATATGGTCTACAGTATAAACAATTAATTGTTTCCTCTCACTGTTATCATTTAAGGTCTCACTACCAATGAGTAGGGACAGATGCCAAAGATGACTTAAAATCAAATTATAGGCTCAAGAATGGTCAACTGAGACGAAAACTACTGCCTCAAGGTTGGAGAATTTCATAAATTAAAGGCTGCCACTGTGATCCTTATTTTGAGTCAAGTGAGGATAACAATAAATCTGTGTATGAATAAAAAACAGAAAAGAAAAAGTGCAAAACAATATTGGAGGCTACACAGCTGAATTGTGATAATATTCACAGTCTCAAACCCGTTCAAATTCTGGCTGAATACCATTTAAAGGGTTTGCTTTGGAGGGTCTCCAGAGAAAACAGCAATAACTGGGAGTTTAACTGTGAAGCTCACAGTATGGTGTGTTAACTTGAGAAGAGACAGACGTACATACTGCTTTACAACTGTTTGCTATAAGACTCGCGGTCTTCTTAAAAGTCTTCTCGAGGTAGTGAGCAAATCTCTCATTCTCGTTTTCCTTGGAACCCAGCTGGAGGAATTCACCTAAAAAGATGCACAGATGGGTGGTTTTATTTATGGGTTTACTGCTTAGGCAAGCAAATCTGAAGAATAAATAGAAAAAGACCTTACCACGCACCAGATCTTCAATCACCTGAGTTAGAACAGAGACGATAGTAGTATTTCCAATTCGGGCTAAAGCTACAGAAGCAGCTGAGAGGATGAAGTCACCAGCTAGAACAGCCTAAGAATAAAAAAAAAAAAAAAAGATAACTCTTAAGTCTTTTCCAGTGTTAGTAGAGATGATACAATTTCCTTTATATGGCAGATCTACTCACATCACATAACTTTCCTGCATAAAGCACAAATATCTCATTGTAACAGAAAAATCAGAAGATCACCAAATATTGAAGTCAGAATAATTTTTGAATCTTATAGTGTTGTTTGTATTTTTCTATATAAGCTCTGTCCTCCCTGTATGCAATACCTGAACATGTGTTTGCCTATGAAGTTTTTTTTGAACATTAATTCTCTATTTGACCATTCTGTTGTGATTGCTACGCCACGTGAACTCTGAATTGCTGTAAGTTCTGGTGCGTCAGCAGTGTATTTCCTTCCTTGCATTTTCTGGTTAAGACCTTCCTTGTAATGTGCTATGAAGAAACACCACTCTCAAAAAAAATTTCCTGCTGACTGAAAACATTTTTGTTTTCACTACTGATCAGACTAATATACAGTGTTCAGGATGAAGTACAAGTTCAAGGTGTTCCAATAGCACTGCAGAGAATGGCACAGGGAATGTAAAATCAGTAAGAATCACAGAATGGGTCAGGCTAGAAGGGACTACATGGTCATCTGGTCCAACCTCCCTGCTCAAGCAGGGTCATCCTAGAGCACATGGCACAGAAATGTGTCCAGACAGTTCCTGAATCTCTCCAGTGAGGGAGACTTCACAACCTCTCTGGGCAACCTGTTCCAGTGTGCAGTCACTGTGGTAAAGAAGTTCTTCCTCATGTTCAGGTGGAACTTCCTGTGCATGTTTCTGCCCTGTGGCTCTTGTCCCATTGCTTGGCACCACTGAGCAGAGCCTGGCTCCATCCTCTGGACACCCTCCCTTCCGACACTTATAGACACTGATGAGGTCCCCTCTCAGTCATCTCTTCTTGAGGCTGAACAGGCCCAACACTACACACTACAATCACTCATTATCTAATGTTTTCAACAGTTCAGAAAAGGAACACAACCACAAACTGTTTGTCTCACCCACAAACTGTGTACACCTCTTCATACTTTTTCCGGTATATCCCAAGACCTAGGGATAGTAACTTAACAAAACTCTAGGTGTTTGTGCTTTGCTGAAATTCAAAGGCAAGTCTTGCACTTATTAGCAAACTCACCTTCCTCTCTCCCCAGATTTGATTAAGCGTCCTTTTTCCTCTGCGAGAATTTGCATCGTCAATAACATCATCATGGACTAGACTGGCTGTGTGGATCATCTCAGCAATTATGGCCACAGAGCGCTGGCTTGCTTGCACCTCCCTAAAATAAAAAACAAGAACTGTCAAACAATTAAATCAGTTACGTATCGTGCAACACGCTAAAAGAAATCCCTACTAAAACTAAAAAAAAATGTTTTTCTGAAAACAGCTGTCGCAGCTTTTCTGTGGTCTGAACCCCATTTTCAAACCTGGAATTGGGAAGACAAGAGAAGTTAACATCACATTAATACAGTAAGTGTAATAGGATGTTTCCATCCTTATTAAAGGCCTATTTCTACATTGCTGCATTAACAGTACTGCAAAACTCCTTCGTTATTGACTCTAATCCCTCTAAATCCAGATTGCAATAAACAGCACAGCATCAAGGACGCTTGGTTTCAAGGAGATGGAAAACAGCAGAGAAAAGAATGCCAGGTACTTTTGTAGATGAGTTTTAAGTTTTCCTTATCTCTGTATTGCTCTACCTATTAACCAGCATCACAAACTCCAAAGCTAGATAACTCTACTAAACAGCAAGCTGGAGAGATCAGAAGGCACAGAAACCTGTATTCTACATCTGAAAGACATAACTCATGGATCTTATCCTTTATGTTATCTGATTACCTTAAAACCTCAGAGGTTCTTCAAAAGCCTAAGGACTTAACTGGAATTATACCCCAATCACTTTAGGACTGTAAACACCAACTACCTAACACTTACTGGAATTCAGCCTTTGGGATAATCTAACACTGATGAGTCAACTCTCAGTAGTTCACACCTACTTTATTTTTTAAACGAGGTGAAAAGAAGGTAATGGAACAACATAGAAGCAAATATCTAAGGAACAAGACTGTCAAAATTAGCATAAAAGCCTACCTAGCTCTCACAAAGGACCATCTACCCCAGTATCCAACGGCCACTGTCTTGTTCTGTACCATCTTTTTTTCTACCTCTTTTCATCACGCAGGTTACACGCAGGATCACAGAAATGGCTATCCCAGTCAGCTTTGTCTCATAGCTGTAACAAGTCCACATGGACACAAAACACCAACAAAAACCCAATAACCAAAGAAAACCAACAAAAGAAAAAATTACTTCTGATGTATAGATACCCTACTTCTGGTATACAGACAACACAGAAAATCACACTATTTTCCAGCAGAACAGAAAAAGGACTGAAACAAAAGACAATAATTCCAGCTCAGCTGTAGGGAATTTAAAACCCTCCTGCACTGCCTATGTCTATTAAAATGTAGTGATTAATCACAAAACGGAAGAACATCTTGCAGTGTGCTGCATTCTGACACCTACCTCTACACAGAATTCTGCATTGCTGTCAGTGGGAGTTTTACATCCTGAACAATAGCAGGATGAATGCATAGCTCCCAGGCTCTGAAAATGTGGCTTTTACACAACAGAAAATAAGAGTTGGAAACCTTCAGGGTGGTTTGAAGGCAAGTTTTACTGTGGAGTAATAATTTAGTCAAATGCTAGTTCAGTGTAAATAGTTTTCCAAAATAACTATTCTTACTAAGTAGGAGAAAACTTACCTTCAAAAAACTGTAAAGGTCTCCAGCCTCTTTCATGCACTGGTCTCCTTTTGGGGATTCCCTTTTTCATTAATAATGTCAGCAGACTGGACTTCCTGCTGGGAAGCAGCAGTAAATGGCAACACTCAACCGACACACCAAAGTCTTTCAGTAGTATGAAGACAGTACAAAACCAGATATTTCAAAAGCAGGTTTTGAAAAGTTCTGCATTTTAGTGCATGTCATCTCTGACAATGACTAAAAATGGCACAGGAATGCTAATGGTTCGTGTGTCTGGTTTCCAGAATGTTATATCAAATGTGATAATTTAATCTGAAAGTTTTTTTTAAACTACTATTTCCATAAAGTCTCAAGCAAGATTCTTTCCGTTGCTGGCAAAAAAAATCTGCAATAGTTTCCTACGAGTATCTTGTGAGAGTATTTCTGAATCAGAGCATGCCTATTTTAGGGGAAAACACACAAGAAAGAGGATCCTTCTCATCCCCTGCCATTTTTCATTCAGCTTTGCCTGCAAGACAAAAGCAAAAAGTGGCAGTAACTCAAGTCAATAGATAAGTGGGCCCGCACTTACCCAGTAAGTGGAAAGATGCCATTTTTAGGTCATTCTCAAAGTAAAGACACCCCAAGATGATACGTACTCACACAATTTTTTTGTACAACTGTAAGTTTATCTTTTTACACATGCAATATATTAAATTTTAAGTCCTTGAGCATGTTCTGTTTTTCAGGAGGACCTCCCCTGCTTGATTCTGTGATAAGGTTCTATAGACTTACAGTACCTTGAGGTGTTTTTCATTACAGGACTTGTTTAATGTACACTGAACAAGACCAAGGCTCACCTTATAGGTTAAAAAAAAATCCAAACACATCTCTCCCTACAAATATCTCTCTTCAAAAAAGACAAAACCCCCACAAACAGTGAGGGGGGAACTCAAAATGATGCAAACCAGTATTCACACTCTGAAACAAAGAGCTTTGCAATGTGTTTGCTAGTAAGTAAATATTTTGCCAGTTTAAAGATAGGAAATTGCAAGAGAACTTGCAAAAGAACTTGCAAAATTTCTGTGCTATAACCACATTTCTCCAAGTACATTTCTGCTGTTAAGCCCCTGTGGCTGAAACAACCATTACAGAAACACAGTCTGTGACATGGAGGGCACTACAAACTAGGAGAAGCACAAATAATGTATGTGTTAGTATGGGAGCAAATTGCACAGCAGCTGAAAACCAGCAGAGTACAGGCTTCTGACAACCACCATCTGGGGGAGGGAAAGAGGACTAAGGTTGCTGGCAGGTCCTCATATCTTTAGGAAATATTATTCTATCGAGTTTAGCCAGGTCATTATATAGAAATGATTCTCACACTATTCTAATGAATTTACTTCCCTTTTCCCCCCCTATTTTCTCTCTTGAGATGTCTCTGTACTTCTTTGGTCCTTTCTTTTTTGTCTCTCTCATTTTGGTTGCAGAAATAGAAATAAAAACTCTTATTTGTAAACACCTTTGGAGAATACACTCTAAACAAAAACATTAGCTCCTGTCAAGCTAAGTGGTAATTCTGTGAAATTCTGCACACAGGTATGTGAAGAAATGCCAGTGGATGTGTGAAACTGAGGGTTTGTATGACCTCAGCTTAAACTATTTACAACAATTCTCACTCTCACACATAGCTTAGTTGCTATCAATAAGCAAAAAGCCACTGCGCAAGGGACTTGGACTTCTGGCACTTAGAACTTCAAGAGAAAACAAACAACATACCAACACAGAACAATTTGAGTGCTTCAGCCACTTATATTTTTGATAATAGTTCAGATGATTCTTTATTACAACTGTCATTTTCCTTATTATGACTACAATAACGTGACCTCACTCTAGAAAAACAGTTAACTTGCTGAGGGTATTCTAATGACTTCGCCTTCCTCAAATCTCAACAGAAATTATCATGTCACCTAACCTGTAAGCAGAGATATCTGGGCATTCCACTCCATTCTCTTGAGAAGTCTCAGTTACTCTGGTGGGACTCTGCGAGGACAAAGAAGTCTCTCTGCACTGCCTCCTAAGATCAGGACCTATAACCTTACTAAGTTGAGTCCTTTTATTGTAACAGCCAAACAAAGCAAAGTATTCCTTTTATACAAGTATAGCACAAAAGAAGAAAAAAATAACCCCAACAAATGAAAGAGCAGGCAAAAGCATGCTGGGTCTAGCAAGTTATATGACAGTTCAGAATGGCAGCAAGATGAAGCAGAAGCTCAGCATCGGTAACACAAACCCCAGAGGCAAGATAAAAAAAAGAAAAATGCTAGGGATGAACAGCACAGGATATTGGTTCACTCTGCAAGTCTACAGATACTGCAGTCAGTGTCTTTGACTACATGTGTGAGAACCAAAGCTTCAACAAAATAAAACAAGTTTGGGAGAAGAATCAATATTAACTGAGGAAAAGAATGACAAAATACTTTAAGGGAAATGACAAGTTGAAAGAGGAAAAACATCTTAAAAAAGTGTTGTGAGAAGCAGAATGAAAGGTAAGTATTTTTCCCCTAGGGTCTACAGAGAGTAGCAGACTTACAAATACAGTGTTTCCTTCTCTACATATACAATTTTCCTTACAAACATTAATAAGTTGGAAGAACAATTTGTCACCTGGAAACAATGCTGCTTTAAGAAACAACAATAATGAAACCAGTATCAGCGTGAACTGGAAGTATATGTATATACAGAGCAGGTGTAACACAGCCTTCTTCGAGAAGCTTGAAAGTAAAAGAGAAGAAAAATGCCCATAAAACTTCATTAGCTCACAGGAAGTGGGTATCCACAGTATGAACGTACATTCTTCGGGCATGGTCCAGCCAACCCTCAAAAAACATCAGTCATCATGCATGAACCAAAGGGCAGTACAGTGAAGACTTGTACCAACATACGTGATATTTAATTACAATCACAGGCTTAGAGAAATTGGCAAGAGGCAAAGAAGAGGAAGGTAAATACCCTGAGATTTCATTATATTTCTTTGCTGACACATTTGTTCTCCCCACTCAGACTTTCATTTTAGAAGCAACATATCACAGATAGTGACTCAGTCTGGCTTATACAAGGAACATTCAGATTATCGAGGAGGCTTTTAAAACACCAAACTGCAACAGATGTACAAAAGCTGCCAAATGACACAAGCATGTATAAATCAGAGGACTTATGCTGAGGGCTGGCTACTGCAAAGCAAATACCTGCCCCAGGCATATGTGTCACTTGAGCTCAGAGATCACACTTTCTCACTGGAATAGGGCAGGTCTCAAAACTGGTCTTGATGGTTTCGAGACATGTGGACAAAAATATGTCCTTGAACATATACATATGTCAGAAAACAGCAAATATGTTCTGAGCACAAAGGTAAATTCAGTCTTTCTACCACTATTTCTCTTTGATTCACTCTTCAACTCCCACACTATATGACATCAGTTCCAGCCTTCTCAGTATTGCAAGCGTAATTTTGTTCATAAGCTCCTCATGCTACACACTAGAATGAGATAAAACTATTTTTTACTGTTATTCTGACTAGAAAGATGCTCCAAAAACTCACTGCCCCAGTTGTTAAAAACCTCCTAAGTTTCCATCCTCTTAGCAATAGGAGTCTTTGTCTTAACAGCTCTTTCGCCCTGTTCCTGATACATTTGCAGACCACAAGTCTTCATTCTCCCTAATTATCTCTGCAGTTCATGCCTGAAGCTAGCTGGACTTCTTCTGAACACAGGGATCTGACACTGAATCTGATGATTTTAGAAAGTGTTTTATACACTCCCATAGTTGAATTGGATATACTAGGGTTGACACATGCTAGGATAACTTTACGGTTTTTCATAGAGAAGGTGACTGCAAACCACAGTGGGGTTATGCCCTAATGGGGCACACATAAGCCTGCAAGCTCAAGCAGAAATTTTTGGTTTTATTGTGCTTCCTTACATTTCAGCATGGATGGCTGATCATTAAGAATGGTTTTGTCATCAGAAAGTGCCATCATTATGCTCCTGTTTTTCAGGTCATGATCACTCATGAAAATATTAAGCCAATCAGTGCTGTGACAAAGGACATCCCTGAGGAGTTTCACAACCAATATTATTCCGTTTGCTATCTCTAAGACAATGATATAGAGAAGTCCTGAATGGAGAACAGAATCAAGCTGAAGCAAAGCTCACTAATCCTGGACAATGTTTTTGCAAAACAAGGGGAATTGGCACACATAGGACAGGACACTGCCAACTAGGTTTTGCTTTCTCCTTTGAAACTATATTCACAAAGGAGGGGGTATTCAGGGAGAGGTACCATAAAACAGCAAAATATATGCCATGCTCTGAGGTAGTAATCAAGTCCAACAAGGCATTAAACTACTACTACAGGAAAGTTGATACAAGAGCTTAGAGAAATCCCCTGTAACACTGACGAATTAGTCTAGAAATACTTCTGGAAAGGGACCAAAGATTTGTTATTTGAAATTCTATACAAGGCAAGACTGGAAGTGTAGCTGGAAGGCAGAGAACACTCCAGCCAACGTCTTTCCTCAAAATGCAAACACAGCAACTGACAGGAACGTGTGGAGAGAAGCATCTGCTATGAGCCAGAGCAAGGAGTGATAGAGAGTATAGGTGAGCACGATGTTCTGCTCAGGTAAAACTGCTTTCAAAAGACAAGCTCATAAGGATTACACCAGCTCTAACCATTATAGTATAGAAACTTGCTCCTAGAGGGTGAAAAAACCCTCCTGACTGTTTTGAACATCTCACAGCTTTGAATATAATCATACCAATTGCTTAATGGTTTTTCTGCATAATTACTGAAAAAGCCTATGAGAGTCTGTTCTCGCAGCAAAGTTCTTACCTGTAACAAGAGCTTAATAGGAACAGGAATGGTTACAAATGAAAATACTTTTAAGGAAGTTCATTTAGTTTCTAATAGCATTTATGCAAGAAGCTAGAATTGACTAAAAGCCTTACAAATATCGTAATTTGGCAACATTATTTATCCATTACCAGTTACAAGTGCAGTCCACAATTTTATACATGGAAAAATGTAATAAATCCAGCAGTTCCTTTTGCACTGGTAACTACAAAAATATTGCTTCAAGATGGAACTTAAATTCAGGTTTTACTGAGGAGCGTTTTATTTTCATAAAGTTACTAGACATATTTTTTGGAAACACAAGAATTATAACTTTCAAGTATGATTAATATATCTAAAAGTGACCAACTCACTTGGAATTATTATGGTGAATGTTGCAAGCCCGAGCCATTAGCACCACAATCATCGGTCGAAAAGCCTTTCCTTTCCCATCAAAGTAATAATCACACATTTCCTTAAGTTCTGCTGCAGAAACAAGTAATTCCTACATAAAGGACAAGAACGTTTCAGCATAGAAGTCACAAAGTCAATCTGTTTAGTGTAAGTAAAACAATATGCGTGTGTAAGGTTATTGCCTGCGTTCATTCCACCCAGTGTAAGCTGAAGTTGTTTTTAAAATTACTATGAGCAATCTGAAACATAAATTTATTTCATCACTGCAAATCAGGAGAAAAAAAATTGCATTTTGGTTCTATAAAATATCAGAAATGCTCCTTTTGCCTTCAGTTTAAGCTTCAGACAGTTGTTCATAAACATAAATAATATTCTTTCAATAAGTGTCATTCAAGTTGATGGTTGGTATTAAAAACAATCATTGCAACATCTCAGAATAGTCACCAAAATCCCTTACCTTTTTAATATCTTCATAGAGATTCTTCAAGTCTTTTCTACCAAGTTGAAAAGGGTCTTGGTATTTTTCATCACTAACTGTCTTACTGCAGCTGCACAAGTGGGATGTACTTGTATGATGAAACCTGGTGACAGTGTTTTTTAAGACAGTAGTGTTGTTAAAAGTAAACTTTCTCTGGTTCCCCAAACAGAAACATTTGAAAGCATTTCCTCCTCCTCCTCTTTCCTCACACAAGATGTAACCAAAGGGCTAAAACAGATGAAGGCATCAATACAAAAGTAAGGTGTAAGCACAGCACAGCTACATATTGGTGATCATAAATCTTTAGGAGCTGGCAAAGCGCCTTTGGCAAACAGGAACACCCTTCCCCCCGGTCTTAACAGATTACAGAAGTCTTCTGAAACACATAAAACTACATATCTCTCAATGTACTCCTTTTGAAGACACTACAGATAGCATAGCCTATGGTTGGAGATAAAGCCTTCATCTTCCCGTAATATAAGTATTCTGTTAATTTCTTCCCTCTCTTGTGAACTCCTGGAAAAATATTCCTGAATTGGATTTGAAATTTTCTCATTTGCACACCCAGCTACATTATAAATTAAATCAATACTTCCAGGTAGCATGATGATGCTATGAATGTTCATCAGGAAAGGGGGGAAGCTCTACCTGTATGCATCAAGCGTACACCTGATTTACTTTTTTTGTTTCCTGGAGTTGAAGTTTATGTTTCTTATTATATTCCCTTTTCCAAAGTGAACCATGTGTATTCTCTTGCAGCATACCTGCTTTGCCTGCTACTCTCAAGGACAGAGGACTTGGATTCAGACTCAGCACCACAGCAACAGTCTACACAACTACGTATTAGAGTGAGCAAAGTTTATAGCTCGCAGGTATAACTACTCAGTTCACCCAACAACTGTGTCTTTACCCATTACACAACAATGTGACTCTCCAACTTACCGCCAAAATACATTACATATTTTTGGAAACGACAAAGCTGAACTTCTTTGGGTAAAGTGACACATCTGTACAAAATAAAACCAGGGTTAATTTATTAGAGCTTTAAACTGACAGAAAACATTCACTATAAAAAACATGTATCTGTTCATAAGCACTACTCTATTTCTCCATTTTAACAACCCTGCATCAAAGGGAGTCTCATAATCTTCTATATCACAAGACATGAGTGATAATGAGAGAATGTGCCAATAGACACATTAAACTGACTCTTCCGCTCAGGAGTGTTGGACTTTCTCCCCTTGCAGGACCAGCCCAGGAACCTTATCAGTTAAATTACCAAAACTGCTCTAACGAAACCTTGCTTTTGCACTTGTGCAAGGTGTAATTTTCCAATGTTCCCTGTCTTGCAGATAAATCTGGACTGCACTAGTCAAGGCACAGAGAAAAGGGCAAGAGCCATTTCAGTAAAACAGTACACTAACAGAAGAACATGTCCTTGTTTTTCCCTGAAGCAATTTCAATTCAGCTTGTTGCTTATGATAATCTACACCTGCCTATCTCCCTGCTAGATGTCCAGAATCTAACTTCCAAACCTAGCAATGTCTCCAATGATCTCTGCCTGCAGACATAGCCCAGGAGCCTGAGGGAAGGCACAGTCCCAAGTACACGATGTCCAGCTGAGAAAGGAAGTACAGCTTTTGCTCTGCTCCTGGCAGTCGGGCCACGACGACCCAGCCCTGTCCTCCAACACAGGCTGACTCAGAGGCCGTGCTGGGCTGAGCCAGCCTGAAATCACTGCAATCCACGTGTTCACCAAACTATCTCCGGAAAAGCCTGAAAAAGAATACTCAAGAAGACCTAGGACTAGAGAACCTGCTTCTCAGGCCTCAGTGTCTCCTTGTTTGTAGATTTAAGTCTCTCCTTGGACATAGGGAGCAAAACAAAAGCACTGTAATAGCTCAAGGACACCCTTTCATCCTCCCTGCGTATGAAAAAAGGCCATGCAAGGACGAAAGGAAGTACAGAAACCCTAACACTCTGCAGCTCACTGCTGTGACTTCAGTGTCCAGCCCTACGGCTGAGACCTTTATAAGCTGCTCTCTCGTACATCTCACCGTGTCCTGTTGTTAAAAAATAGCTGATTTCTTGCTAATCTTCCTTCTACGAGGGCACACACAGACTCCCTCCTTTACACCGCTGTTTAACACTGTAAGGCTGGCTCATGCAAGATGCTGGACACATCAGCCAGAGCCCTTTACCGCGGGTCAGAACAGCCGTCTGGCCTTGTGAAGAAGCTGTAAACGAACGCTGTGAGAGAACTGCTCCCACTACGACTCACACACAAACGCGTTCAAAATCTCAAACTAATGAGAACCGCTTTCCCTGCTCCCACCTAGAGACGGCTCTGCGAGGTTCACCACACTAACCAACGCTGCCCCGAAAACCCTTAACCCAGTGTTTAACCTTGCACCGAGCGCGCTCCTGTCCCCAGCAAGGACCCCCCGGCAGGGAATCGCCTCCGGGCCTTCGGCCTTCCCGGTCAGGAGGCTGCGGAACGGCGAAGGCGCGGCGGCTGCGGGGTGACCGCCCGGCCCCGCGCCCCGCCCGGCCCCCCCTGCCCCATTCATTCCGTGACCTCCCGGCGCCCGCCGCACTCACCGCGCTGGGGGCCGGCGGGGCGCGGGGGCCGGGGCGCGGCACGGAGCCGAGCGGCGGCGCCCGGCGGGACGAGGCGCCGCACCGCCACCACCACCACCACCACCGCAAGGCCATGGTGTCCCCCAGCCCCGCCGCGCCGGCACCGCCTCTCGGCACCGCCGCGACCCGGACGCGGAAGCCCCGCGCCGCTACTGCCCTCCGGCGGGGTGCCGGCAGAACACGGGGGCGGGCGGGGAGGGCAGCGGGCACCGCCACCGCCCTCCAGCGGGGCGCCGACGGGGACGCCCGGGCAGCGGGCACCGCGCACCGCTTGCGCCTCTCGCAGCCCCCTCTTTGAAGGAGGGAGACCTCAGGCCCAGTGTCTTTGGGGACTCGCTGAAGGTTTGGGGACATGTGGTGGCCCCCCCTGGCTGGCCGCCTGGCTGGCGTGGGGCTGTGTGGCCGCGCTGTGCGGCTCCCGCGGGCTCTGCCCGGCCCCGAACGCCTCCCGCCCCGAGCCGGGGCAGTGCCCGCGGCGCCGGGGGGCGGCGGATCTCTGCGCCTGGGCCCTGTCCTCCGACAGCCTCCTAGGTACGGCATGCCCTGCCCCGGCTTTGTACCCCCGCCCTGCCCCGAGGCTCTTGCTTGGTGGGTTGTGGCAGCTGCTCAAGCAGAAACTTAAGTGAAGACCTGATATACACAAATACTGCTTCTAAAATTAAAACCAGACTGGCCGTAAGGAGCTTTTTGGGTTGGTTGGTTGTTGTTTTCTTTTCCGAGTCCCAGTTAATGCAAAATTGATAACCTGACACCTGACTGGCAGTACACAAAACGTTGTAGCTCTCAGGCACGCAGAATTGCCTGTAATCATTATGGTAATTTATATGATAACATTACAGAACTGATTTCATCAGGTGACACAATTCCTTGTGAGCATTAAGAAATAATAGTCAGTGATAAATCTTGTGTCAGCTGGCTATAACAGGATTTGTCAGTAGAGGTATTGCCAAACATGGTTAACAGTAAGGGTCCAGAGATGCTAACTCAAAATTTTTACAAAACAGTATCTATAAAGTGTTAGGATTGTATAATTAATGCAGAATTGTAAGATTGTTGCAAGCAAAAATCCATAAAGATGGTAAACCACACAGTATTAGTAAAATATTTTAAAACAATATTTGTCCTCTGTTACCATGGATTGGGGCACAGAATAAGTCCGAAGGAAGAATGAAGCACATCTTCTGAGTACATTTGTTATGCTACAGCAAGAACTACATCTTCTGAGCCTTTCATTCACTGTTTACATTGCTCAGAAAAGACTTCATAGGGTTTCTTAGGTTACATGGTGATCATTGCTGCATATGGACTATATATAGCAGTTAATGGTGCACAGTGACTTAAGTCTGTTGCACTACATTGTGCAGCACTGAACTACATTCAGCTGTGGGAATAGCTGAACTCTGTCTCATATAAATATCTTTTAGGGTTGTATATAATGTAGTGCAATATGAAACTGCTTAGATATGGTTTAGATCTTAAAAATAGCATGCCCTGCTAGATTCTTTTAACTGCAGAATTCAGTCTTTCTTTTAAAAAATTCCAAACGGAATAAAAACCTAAATTTATTTGGGCTTGCTTTTCATGCAGACTTAATATAGATTGTGGTAAATACTTGAGTTTTAGTTGTTTCTGAATTATTTTTATTTGATTTAAGATGAAAGGCATTAGAAAGATATGATTAATTTTTAAAAGACATTTTTTCTCTCATGTTTACAGATCCTTTTCCAGTTGATGTGATCCAGGAAAATTATGTCCGTAATGTGAGAAACTGCATTTTTTCAATTGTTTATCCTACACCTTTTAAATCTAGAGTTCATCTTGTAGCTGTTTCAAAGGTTGGTTGTTGTTTTTTATTCCTCTCTAATTAGTAGAGATTGTTAATACGTGTACTAAAGTATATTTTAAAGTATATTTTAATATTCATATGCTATTTATTGTAAAAGCATCTCATCACTATATACTTTAAACATATTTAAAACATACTTAAACATATATAAAACTTATTGTGAACTGTCTTTTAGTAACAAAATCTGTAGAGAAAACGTTCATTACCACTGACAATTCAATCATTTTCAAGTACTAACTGTATTCTTTTTTTCTCCAGGAAGTTCTTGAAAATATTTTGGATCTTGATATATCTGTCAAAGGAACATCTGATTTTCTTGAGTTCATCAGTGGTGGGAAAGTGATACCTGGGTCTGTTCCATTGGCCCATAGATATGGGGGTCACCAGGTAACTGTGGCACTCATTTCTTCCAAGTTGAATTATGTAGCATTTTCATGTGAGTTATACCTTGATAGTACCTGTAAGTACATGAACACTTATTAACATTTTGATTGCAGATTTGATTTTCATAAGGGGCTGCAGGTGGAAGAAAACCGTAATATTCTTTCTCAGTACCATGTTTACTTCCTCTGCTTCTGTTTATTCCTGAAGCAAATTGTCTTTTTGACTTCCATTAGCTGCTGACTCTGCTTAGCACCCCTGCAGCTTAGCCAGCTCTTATTCCTGACAGCTCAGAGGAGTGAAGAAGGGCAGAGCTTCACTGCAATACCATGATTAATAAGAGTTAAGCTTTATTGCAATTGGTGTGGTTATTAATGGAGAAGAATGGTAGAATTTGGTTTGTAATTTCCAATTAAAAATAACAAAACAAGCCATGTGAGTTTAAAGGCTCATTATACAAGCAAGGCAGGTCTGTACCTGTACATCATAGCTGGAAGGTGAAAAAAAGTGGGGATTACTACCATTATTCTTTTCTGTTTAATTATTTCTGATTAATTATTGGTGTGAGTGTGGAAATAACAGCTTTAGGGATCAACCTCATAATGACTGTGTGAGAAAATGTGTCATTATATTGTGTAGAACACAGAGAACCTACATGTAATTTGTATTGTTTCAAGTATAACTGTTATAAATGGTAGAAGAAAATAACTTGATTTTCATTTTTGTCAGTTTGGTACCTGGGCAGGTCAGCTGGGGGATGGAAGAGCCCACTTGGTTGGAGTATATACAAACAGGTGTGACTTTTTTTTAAATGACTGATTCAACTCTGTGTTCAGTTTAGTTGATTGATGGATAGCTCAAGGTGTACTGTTAAAAATGCTAATGGTATTTTTGCAGGCATGGTGAGAGGTGGGAACTGCAGTTGAAAGGGTCAGGAAAGACCCCATACTCCAGGTAGGTTGCAGTTGTTCTGTGTACACCAAAATTGAATGTTTTCTTTTTGAAATTTGCTTTGATTTTATGACCTATTCCTTATTTCTCTGTTCTTTGTAGGAATGGGGATGGAAGAGCTGTGCTTCGCTCTTCTGTTAGAGAGTTTTTATGTAGTGAGGCCATGCACTATCTTGGAATTCCTACAAGCAGAGCTGCTAGGTATTTTTCTTTTCTTTTTCACAGTATCTTCATTTACAGGTAATTTTGTGACTGAGTTTCACTGAGCATCAATAATGCAGGACAGTTAGTTTCCAAGACAATAGGTCTTTTCTTATGGATGCTATCAGAACAAAATATATCCCTCCAGTTCCATAGATTTTTGGATAAAACTTTCCAATAATAATAAGCTCCAGCAATTAATCACATCGCTTTTGTCTCTGCTATGCTTTAAAATACTACTTCATTTGAAAACAATATTGTGTCCTGTCTGTGTCTAGCGGTAAGCAGCTGTTGTTCACTGGTAAGACTGTCTTAACGGAATTACCTTAGTTTGAAATGTGGCTCATCTTGTAAAGAAAGTAAAGAGTGGAACTTAGATTGAGTGATTATGTCTGACACTAACTTGCTTCTCCATGGTTTATGATATTTCAATCAAGAGTTTCGTCTCTTTAAAATACAAAGAAATTGTTCTCTTACCACTGACTTGCAAAACCAGCTGGGCTGGATTCCTGCCCTTTAGTGTATGTGGATAATCAATGACTCTATTAATACATTTTTCATAGTTAATAAATGAGTCTTTTATTACACTAAAGTTAAACATTTGAATAAATTTTCCTAGAATCCAGCCAACTAGGAAAATGTTAAAAGTAGCTATTTTTGTACTGTTATAGTCAGTCAGTTGCACATTTTAAGATTGGTGGGAAAAATTGTCAGTCATATGAACAGATGTTAATATTGGAGGTAGTACTGAATGTAGGCAATTGCTCTCAATTCTTTATTTATGCAAACACCCCTTGAGCAAAGAGATTTTATAAAAAAAATTCCAAAACTAATTCTCTTTGAATTAAAGGAGACTTAATACTTCACTCATTTGGATGATTTTCTCAGAATCAAGTAACTGATTATTTTCAGATTATCATGTTTAAAATGTCAAGTTGATTTTGTGTTCTAAGTAGTCTCAAGTCTGTACTCCAACATTTAAGGCTTCAAAGAAAGTAAATGTTCTGCAGAAAAGGCCTGTGTTCAGCTGCCACGTGTCTAGGTATCTGTATTTGCGAAGTGTCTGCAAATCTCTCTAGCGTTAGTTCTATCACATTTGCTCTGTTGAAATGCAGTGCTTGTAAATGACATTTTTGATGGTTTATTCACTGACTTCATCCTGAGACCCTTTGCTGTTGGCTGTTAACGCAGAACTTTAAAGCTGTCTGAATATCAGCAGGAAAGCATCAGGCAGGTTATAGCCTCTCTTTGCTGTCGTCTCAACAAATTGTTCAGTGCCAAACTAGTACGAAAGTACTCTTTAACTCTGCACAAATTCTACTGAGCACACAGCGTGCTTTAGTTCTCTGCTGGCAGATTGGTTAAATGCCTGGCTCTCTTAACTGCTGTACAAGATCTCCAGACTGTTTGCAAGACCTAATTTGGAAAAACCCCAGCTGACATCCATATTCTTCCCAATGGGGAGCTGTTGTACTGAGGCTGGTGGGATGCACTTCCAGAGGTCTTGTCACATCTTGGCAGAAGTGGGAGGAAAAGCCTTACAGCTTATCCCAGAACACCCAGCAGGTTGGTTTGCTCTATTAATGTTAAGTACTGTGTTCCCAATGGGGTGCTACAGCTTATGACTGTACTGCCAGACAAAGAACACTTCATACAGTACCATTTCAGTCACATACTGGGACTAGCATTGAGCAGT